CCCCCCCCCCCCCCCCTCAGGCCTCCGTTGCTATCCCACCCGCTACCGGGAAACAGAAGGAAATCGCACTCAACACACTTGTGTGTTGGTGCCTTTCCTTCTGTTTCTCCTAGCTATTGCTAGCTACCCGGGCGGTTTAAGACGAATGTCCCGCTCGCCTTCTACTTTCGTTTAACTAAGTGGGCCTCGTAACTACCCTACTTTTCTTTCTTGCCCTCTTAGTCTGCTCTTGTTTCGTCGCTTTTTCTGTCTTTCTAAGGCTTTTTAGGTGTCTACTAGTTCTTCGTTGCGCCAACAATTTGGCGCTTTTTGTACAAATGTTCCCCTGGGAGTTAGGACGCTACTGGAGGCCCCTGGCCTTACTACTACTTTGACCGCGCCGAAAACGGCTCTGTGTGTGTGTGTCCACCCCTGGGCAAAAGGTTTTCGTCCACTGGTTCAACGGTAGGGGGTGTCTGGAAAAAAGCGCCGAAGCCGGCGACTTGTGTGTGTCCACCCCTGGACAAAGGGTTTTCCACCACCACTTTTCGCAAGCAGGGGGCCACAGCTCCTTTCATCAGTCTGTGGCCAACGAAGCTACTGATGATTGGAGAGGATATGAACCTGGGACGCCAGGTTCACGTACCTGCTTTCAACACAATGACTCCACTGGTCCACCCTGCTGCTGTTTCGTTGGTTCCATGGTTTTCTCATGATAGACCCCAAAACCTTCCCCCACCGCAGATGTGCAGCCGCGCTGATCGCTCGACACCGCTGCTCTTGTGAACTGCAGATGTGCGAAAACCATTTGTTCAAACATCTACAATTGCGCTGACTTTCCACCTTACCGTTGAGCCATTCCTTTCCTCGGGAGATCGCATTAACTGAAATTCCAAGTTCGAAGTGTGTGTGGTTGCGCTCAGGGAACAAGCTTTTATTTTGCATAGCAAGCTATTATATATATAATATTTATAGTACCCCCCCCAAAAAAAATAACACCCAAATTCGTGTTTCAATTGCATATTTGGGGCACATTTTTTTAGTAAAAGATAAAGGTTTTGTGAATATACATTGAATCCTGACAGTTTTGGAATTTTTGGAAATTATGGAAATCTCACTTTCCATAATTTCCATACTTTCTATAAGTTTCAGGACCATTGAGACCCCCCAGAGGGTCCTGAAATTTATGGAAATTATGGAAATTGTTGTTTTCAAAAACTTCCAAAGCCATCAGGACTATGGAGACCTTCCCTGTGGTGTGTAAAGCTTTGGATTTTCATGGAAGGGTCGAGGGGGCTATGGGGGGGGCTATTGCCCTTATGCTTTGGCAGCTGTTTGCTGGCTGAAGTGATCCATTGGTATTAAAGTTGTAATAGCTGTGGTTAAGCCTTTAATAGAGTCTTCACCAGGCCTATTAAGGCTTTAATAGAAGCTTATGGATAAGGCCCTATTAGAGCCTTAATAGCTTTGGTTAGCCTTCTGATAGTAGTGAATCACCCCCTCCGCCAGAAATACATTTACCAGGGTGGGATCATTGTGGTGACTTTTTTGTAGCTTTGTTTTGGCACATGCAATAGGCCAATGGGGCTCAAACTTACATTTTGGGGGCCACCTGGGGGCTGGATTCTGGCTTATCAGAGGCTTAATCAGGGCTTATCCAAAAATCATCCTGCCCTGCTGATTCCCCCTATTCCAGTGCTTATCCAGAGGGTCCAAAAACTGCTCTTTTGGGGTGCAAATGGTTTGTGTTAGTGGTTTTGAAGCTTTTGTGCCATGGCCACAATGTCACAAAACACGTGGACAATAAAACAAAGGGGCACTATTTGTGCAAAAATGCATTAACATTATAAAATTGGTAATACACCCATGCTCACTTATCAAGGCCCTAAGCATAAGGCCAAGAGCCCCCCCCAACAACCCCCCCTACCCTTCCATGAGATGTATTAGATTTTCATTAGATTCAATTATATTCATTACTGTTCCACAAGCCGTTTCTCATCATACAATTAATTAAACTAAATTAAATAAGTAAAGTAGTCTCCATACGCAATAAGGTAGGCTCACTGCGTGTATTTACTAAATTTATTGTTCATTTGTTTTCTTATCACAGACTGCAAAAACCAAAAACACAAAACAACTGTGTCCCCCCAAAAAAACTCAATGAAAACAAAAAAACATCTTTCAGGCTGAAACCAAAGATTCTCCTCAGAGTTGTGTTTTTTGTTTTTTTGGGTGTTTTTTTTGTGGGGATTTGGCACTAATTTCGACTTACTACTATCACCGCAGCTTTTTCCAAGCTCATAGTCATAGTTTTCCTTTTTTCTGCACGCGATGGTCCGCTAGCAATTTAATGTTTAAACTATTCAAAATATTGAATTCAAGAGGGCTGCCAATTCGAGGAATCAATTTATTAATATCTAAAACATTCAAAACATTTAAAACAGTGAGCCCAATGTTTATTAGATTTTGTAAATGTTTAGCCTGTTAAAGAATTTATACTATTTCAAATATTGAATTAAACTTGTATTGAATGGTTTTAATAGTTTAAATATGTTACCTATTAAAAAAATAAGTATTCAACTAAATGTTTAAATGTTAGAAATATTAGATTGATTCCTTGAATTGGCAACCCCTTTGAATTCAGTAGTCTAAATATTATACTTATTTTTTAATAGGCGAAATATGTCAAATATCTAACACACTAAATTCAAATGTAATTAAATATTTTGAATATTTCTTAATAGGATGAATATGTCAAATATTCAAAATAAGCAATTTAGTATAAAACATTAAAAACTAAGAAACTAATAGCCATTTAAATTCAATATTTAGTTATTTTAATGTCTCAAATATTGAATTGATTTCTTGAATTGGCAACCCCTTTGTGAGCTCAATATATGTTTGTTTTTTTAATATGCAAAACATGTAGTATATTTAACACATTAAGTTCAATTTGAATTAAAAGTATTGAGCTAAATGTTTTAACTCTTTGAGATATAGATTGATTCCTGTAATTGGCAACCCCTTTGAATTCAGTAGGTTTAATATTCTAGTTAGTTTTCAATATGCGAAACATGTAAAATATCTAACACACTAAATTCAAGTTTAGTCAAATATTTTGAATAATTTGAATACGATGTAATATGATGAATATTTAAAAAATATAAAACTTGAATTTAAGAGGGTTGCCAATTCTAGGAATCAATTTAGTAGAAGACAGTTAAAACTTTTAAGAACTAATAACAATCTTAGTTCAATATTTTGGATATTTAAATGTCTTAAATATTGAATTGATTTCTGGAAGTTGCAACTCCATTGTGAGCTCAAAAGTTTAAATGTAGTTTTTTAATAGGCAAACCACATATACTGTATATTGAACACATTAAATTCAATTTGATTTAGATATTTTAAATATTTTGAACATTTTATAATGGGCGGAATATTTAGAATATTAAATTCAAGAGGGTTGCCAATTCCAGGAATCAATAGAATATTTGAAACACTTCAAACACTTAAAACATTAGATTCAATTTTACTTCAATATCTTAGGTGTCTTAAATATTCTGCCTATTAAACAGTATCTAGAATATTAAGTTGATTGAATGAAAATTGAAATTTATGGTTTAGATATTTTAAATAGTTCGCCTATTAAAAGTTTGTTAACATATTTCAAATATTGAATTAGTATTTATTGTAAGGTTTTATATGTTTGAAATATTAAACTGATTACTTGACTTGGCAACCCCTTTGAGTTCAATATGTTTAACAGTCGTTTATATATTGTTAATAGGCGAAATATTGCAACTATTTAAACCATTATATAAATTCAATCTTAATTCGAAACAAAGAATAGTTTGAATGTTTTTTAAAGGTGACATGTTTAGAATATGTTCTAAAACTATGGAACTCAAGAGGGTTGCAATTTTTTAGGGATCAATTTAATATTAACTATGTATTAATATTAAAAGAACATACAACATTAAGTTAAATTGTGTTTCAATAAAACTTTCAATATTTTGAATATTCATAAAATATTCTGAAAATATTCAACATATTGAACTAATTTTAAGTTGAATGTTTCAAATACTGTAAATTGTTTGCCTATTAATTGTTTAGTGCTTCTGTTGTATCTGCGCGCAGTAATATCAATGTTTGAATGATTGCGTCCAAGGCTAAGGTTTTTTTTGGTAGCATATATATATATATATAAGTCTATTAAGTTATAGAAATCAGTATATATATATACTTAGCAATCTTGGGTCGGATTGGTATCCGCTGGTAGCGATGATCAACTGCCCAGCTGAGCGCAAGGTGAGATTTCTTGCTGATCGGCAAATCAGGGCCGCCATTAGTGCCAATGCTGCTAGTGGCATTGGCACCTGAGTTTGGCCTTGCGGGGATTGACTGGCAAGCTTAAATCACACTGCGTTTTCTATCAGATGAAGTTGAAGCCACGCAAAATTCAGGTTAAAAGCTTAACGTTCATGGCCATGGGCTTTTCATCTCATGACTGCGCAATATGCGTGGACTGGCAGACAAAATAACTAGCTGCGCTTTTTGACAGCACAGTTGCTGATTTGCACGTTTCAACCATGTCACCGCTGAGTGGCTCAACCCCTTTTTTTGCGAATCTGCACGAAACCTTCGAGGTTTGCGGTGATGCTTCACACGGCAACGAAAGTGGAACAAGTGGGATCTTCAAGCTTTCCAGTGCTGCCCCTATGTTTTCTGTTCTCCAATATAGATAAAGCATGTTGGTGGAAGTTTCCACTACACCTTGCCTTCGGAGCAAAGAATGTGTTTTCTTGCATTTGAAAAGCGTGAGTGAGTCTTTGAATGAGGTTCACTCCAAATGGCACCACGTGGAGATAGTGACGACTTGCTCGAATGTCTTGATATGTTTTGCATCGACGCATTTGCTAAGCAAAAGCGCTTTGGGTGTTTTGTCCAGCGCAGCGCCAGGTGCGTGACCGGCGGCAAAGATGTGGCAGGGCACAGAGTCCAACAAATCGACAGTGCACTGTCATTCTCACTTTCAATGCACCAGGTCGTTGCAGATTTTCCAATGTATCGGCTTTTTCGCGCCACAACGTGCAGAGCTAACATTTCCAGACCTTCAGTTTGGTTGCATTCTATGTTTAATCAATGTCAGTTTGGTCATGTTATATATATATAAGTAGAATCAAATAGACAGTGGCACCGAAATTGCTGCCTAGTCCGCTTCCAATTCTGCACAATGTTTGTGAAGATGTGAAATGGGAGGCTTGCTCTGCATAACTACGCTGTCAATCTCGTGCTTTGCATGTGAATATCACTGTCATTGGCTATGATGCATTCTAATGACTCTAATGCCAGCTTGCTATAGTCTGTTCATGCTTGTTCATAAATGTCAATCAGACCTGCGTAGGGCATCGATTTTCGCCTTCGCAAATACGAGCAGTTCTTCCGCGAGCATGATTCTCAGACTCAGACAGACAATGTGAATTTGGAGTTTGTTGCTGTTCTCGGAACCGATATATATATATATATGCTACAACCCACAAAAAAACTACCTTTTACATAGACAATTTAACTGGTATTTGCAATGGTTTGGTGAGATTTCAGAGCACAAATTGAACAGCCCATTTTTGATCATATTGTGGTCTTCGTACGTGATTGTGATCACATGAGAAGAACAACATGCGCAGATGTAACCATATTCAGAATGTTTCTTGCTATGTTTTACTGCTTGTTTCTGGATGGACAATGAAAGGATGACGTTGAATTTGCAAAATTTGTCGCCATGCTAGATCTTTTTGTTGAGAGAACATTTCAAAGACAGCAGGGCGCACTATGCTGCAAGCAAGGTAGTGGTTTCTTTTGACCGATGCTGGAGCATGTAGCAGATGTTACAAGCTCACAACAGTTATCCTCGTGAGCAATGGTGCAATATGTGATATGTGTTACATGGTTAGGATGCCGGTGATATCCCACAAGCCTATGTTTCCGGAGCTGCTACAAACAACCAACAGTTCAGCAAACCCACAAACAAAAAGCAAAAGGTTTTTTTGGCACTGCGCTCGGGCTCACGGAGGATGCTGTTGGAAGGATGCAAGCAGACAATAAATGCTGCTGCCAAGAAAGACCATGAGCGCACGTGTTCATCTGCGAATCCCTGTGCTCAGTCAGAGTCAGCACCCATCAGCTCAGAAGAGGAGGAGCCATCAGATGCCATAGGTGCCATCAAGGAGCCATCAGATGCCAAAGGTGTCATCGATGCATCGCTGTTGCCTCCAACGATCTCTTCGTGGTTGCCTTGGAGCTGCTGTCGCAAGAGTGCATTCTCTGCGCTCAGGCTGGTACTGGTCTCAAACTGCTCCTTGACTTGCTCCTTGGCCTTCTCGAGCTCGGCTGATGTGTGGCAAAGAGCGGTGAAAATGCTCTCGAATTTGGACTTCAGGGCTTTGGCCTCGGCCTGACTCGGGGCCAATGTGAAGGTGGCCTTGCCTTGACCAGTGTACGTGCTACATGCATTTGTACGCGTACATTGCTCAAACCGAGAAACCAAGATTGCGCACAACTCTTGTCAGGAATCTTGGCTTGATGCAGCCAATGTGGATGACCTCCTGGGTCTCAAAGGATGCGCCCCACACCAAGATTCACTTTCATAGGTCTGTGCAATCTTGGTTCTTGGCTTCTTGGTTTGACCACTGTACGCGTACAAATGCGTTTGTACGCGTACCTTTCTGAAACCAATGACGTGCAGTCAGCATCTCAACATTCAACATCATGCAATAAGACGTGACACAAGTACATTTATACATCTACGTATATATATATATATGAGTTAATTGGTACTCCCGTTTCAATTGTAGCTGATAGATTATCATCCCCGACCTTTTGGGGGGGGGGTGTACCATGTATATATAATATTCTATACTACCCCGCCAAGACATTTTTGGTGGCTTACAAGGCATATTGCGAAGCAGCATTTTGCAGTAGCGCCTGAACATTGGATAGCCCTAAAAGGTAATTTACCTGCGTTGTTGTGTTTATGTGTTTTAGTCCTTATGTGTGGTCTCCATTGATAAGGCCAAATTTGAGAACATTTACAGTATATACAAGCGATACAGCTATAAAATGTGCGTCCCTCTTTGTCCACATATTTACTGTTTGGTTCATCTTCATTTTCCAACTCTTCTGGGTGAATTTGTTTTCTGACATTCTCTTGATGAACGGTTCCTTTTCGTCTTGGGATTCTTTACGCCACTGGACATCATGTTCACATAACGGGCAGTAATATCTGTTTTTCTGGCGCCTTTGCTTTTGCTCTTTCATTCCTTTTCCCTTTTCAGGGTTGCGTTCCTTCCATTCTTTCCTTTTAATTTGCGGTATTTTGTAATTTATTTTCTTGTTTGTTTGGCTCTACAACAGTCGCAGGTTTTAAACCCTTTAGTAGTATCCATTGCCTAGTATATATACCCACTAGTTCTTCGAAATTTTATAACACCCTTTTTACATGTTGAAAATCGTTTAAAAGTACTATTGCATCTACGACAGTAAGCAGCGCTGTTGGTATACTGCCATTTACAGTATCTTCTTTCAACCCACATCCACAGTAATTACATTGATTGGTTTTATTACACAAAAACGGTTGAGCATGAATATAACCTTCCTTCGGTATGTCTCTTTTGCCCTTTCTATCCGGTATTTTATATTGTTCAACTCGCCTATTACAATAGCTTGTGATACCGTGTTTATTAGATTCAATTTCAGTATCATCTCCGCCAAAACCGCTTCTTAAATCCGGCTCGTGTGAAAGCCGCCCACAGCCACTCCCTATAATTTCTTATCATATTTCCTATTTTCTAGTTGCCTAATGTCACTAAATACCTTTTTCCAGGTGTTATTCAGAGAGGGAAAGTTCTAACGTTATACTTAGAACAACTGATGTCAGTTGTTTCTGAAACATATTTCTCAACAAGTATTGTAAATGAAAAGCTTTTAAGAAAATGTCATAGTTCAATTCATATATTCTGGTTCTTTCATCTTCTTCTTTACTTCTGACTGACGCCCCGAACTCCAACGTTCGAGGGCTTGGATTTTTCCCCCTAAAATTTGCAGTTTTAATGTTTTCACTTTTTCTGGGTTCAAGATTCAAGCTTCTGGGGAAAAGTTCTTGAATGCAAGCCCTGACTGATATCCAGAACCTCAACATTCGAGGGCTTAGATGCAAGAACATTTTCCTAGAATCTTGAATCTTGGATCCAGAAAAGATTGTACACTTTGCAAACTTTCTAATTCAACGTGTGCCTGCACACCTTTTGGGTTTCGACGTGTGTGTATGCAGTATGCATATATATATATATATGTGTGTATAATCTGGCGTCCCCGCAATCCATCTAAAACTTCGACCAAAAAACGGACGAAAACTATGACCTCAAAATGTGTTGAATTCCTTGTAAATACCGCTGAAAAGTGTAAAAAGGCAGGTCTTGAGGGGTTTGGTAATCTATCAGATAATTGAAAGGGGAGTACCATATATAGACATGTATAAATGTACTTGTGCCATGTCTTATTGCATGATGTTGAATGTTGAGATGCTGACTGCGCGTCATTGGTTTCAGAAAGGTACGCGTGCAAACGCATTTGTACGCGTACAGTGGTCAAACCAAGAAGCCAAGATTGCGCAGACCTATGAAAGTGAATCTTGGTTTGGGGTGTGTCCTTTGAGACCCAGGAGGTCATCCACATGGGCCGCATCAAACTAAGATTCCTGACAAGAGTTGTGTGCAATTTTGGTTTCTCGGTTTGAGCAATGCGCGCGTACAAATAGCACGTGCACTGATACAGAAAAAACCACCGAAAGATGATATCTGGTTGTCTGATGTAGTCTGCAGTTCAACAATTCAAATCTAGAACGTCGCTCACCCTTCATCCTGACACGGCGTCTTCCTCGGGCAGCTTCCCAGTGCGCATGGAACAGTCTCTGTCAAAGACGGCAAGGCCACTCTCACATTGGCCCCGAGTCAGGCCTATGTCAGAGTCAGGCCGAGGGCGTGAAAGTGACAATGACGCGGCAAAGCTCAACAAGCCTCCTGGAGCGCTTCGAAGATGGTGTTCTGCATGTCCACGCTTCCAGACTACCACTTACGAAAACCAGCCTTACCAACGTGATGGGCACTATCCAACGTCAACGTCAACTTCTGCCCAACCTGTGGCAAACGGAGTGTGGGACCAAGAGTGCCAAGATCGTCTCGAAGCACTAAGGTACTAGCCGCTAGCCATCGAGGACAAAAGGAAAGTGCGTTCCAAGAAGCCCCTTCTGACTCAGACTCGTCTTCGTCCTCGTCGCCCGACAGCCAGGCTGCAAAGGAGTTACAGATTGCCAAACGCCAGCTCGAGGAGAAGAGGGCAGAGGCCAAAGCCCTGAAGTCCGACCGCTCTTTGCCACACATCACCCGAGCTCGAGAAGGCCAAGGAGCAGGTCAAGGAGCAAAGTCAGACCATTACCAGCCTGAGCGCAGAGAATGCGCTCTTGCGACAGCAGCTCCAAGGCAACCGCGAAGAGATCGTTGAAGGCAAAGAAGAGAGCATTTTCACATCTCTTCGCCGCACATCAGCCGAGCTCGAGAAGGCCAAGGAGCAAGTCAAGGAGCAGTTTGAGACCAGTACCAGCCTGAGCGCAGAGAATGCACTCTTGCGACAGCAGCTCCAAGGCAACCACGAAGAGATCGTTGGAGGCAACAGCGATGCATCGATGACACCTTTGGCGTCTGATGGCTCCTTGATGGCACCTATGACATCTGATGGCCCCTTTTTTCTGAGCTGATGGGATCTGACTCTGGCTGAGCACAGAGATTCGCAGATGAACACACGCGCTCATGGTTTTGATTGGCAGATATTGGCAGCAGCATTTATGTCTGCTTGCGTCCTTCCAACAGCATCCTTCGTGAGCCTGAGTGCAGTGCCAAACTGCCTTTTCCTTTTTGTTTGTGGGTTTGCTGAACTGTTGGTTGTTTGTAGCAGCTCCGGAAACATAGGCTTGTGGGATAGCACCGGCATCCTAACCATGCGAGACATATTGCACCATTGCTCACGAGGATCGCTGTTTTGAACTTGTAACATCTGCTACGCTGCTACATGCTCCAGCATTGGCCAAGAAGCCACTACCTTGCTTGCAGCATAGTGCGCCCTGCTGTCTTTGAAATGTTCTCTCAACAAAAAGATCTAGCATGGCGACAAATTTGCAAATTCAACGTCTTCCTTTCATTGTCCATCCAGAAACAAGCAGTCAAACTTAGCAAGAAACATTCTGAATATGGTTACATCTGCGCATGTTGTTCTTCTCATGTGATCACAATCACGTACAAAGACCACTATATGGTCAAAAAGGTGCTGTTCAGTTTGTGCTCTGAAATCTCACCAAATCATGGCAAGCACCAGCGAAAGTGTCTAAAGGGTAGGATTTGGGGATGCACACATATATATATATATACTATTTTTTGGGACTGACATATATATATATATATGCTTCAGTAGGAATAGACTATTTTTCTTACCGCACCTTGCCACATCTATGTGGATTAGCCCCGGTCGAATTGAGAAGTCCATTTCACGTGGCCACTGTGGGACAGGCAATTATCACCTGCTCTTAAATTTTTAGCATTTACACGGCTTCGGAGGAAGGCAACTCGACCGTGTCAAGCGAAAGTAAGGACTTGCAGGGTTCTACGGGGAAAGGGTTTTTGTTTAGAGCCGTCAAGAAGAACAATTTTTGTCCTAGTGATGTATTCCAAGTCATTTTTTGCAGCAGATTCAAACGCATAATGCATTGATTTGTGCACGTTTGCTGCCTGAGGCTTGTGCGTGCAAACAGCCGAAAGGCGATGGGTAAAGTTTCCTCTTAATGTCTATTCAAGAACGCCATCACCATTGATGTCGACTGCTGGCTGGAGGACATCCTTTACATGGTAGTGGATGGCCTGGATGTGTTCTTCAACGACGTCAGCCAGGTTTGTTCATCCACAGCAACCGCAAGATTTTCATCAAGATGCAATAGGTTCTTGTCCTTCAAGGTTGCAAGCCCTCGAACACCGACCGAGGCTGTCGAAGTCCCTGGGATCCTTGCGGATCCTTAGCCACACTTTTGAACTTGGACGGCTTGAGTCCCCAGGTTGCCAAAGAAGACCTTGCTGGTGTGACAGGACGGCTTATTGCTGAGCGGTATGAGGCGCCAAAATCACAGACTCACTAGCTGAATAACTTTACTTTGCTGATAGGCTCTTGCAAGTGGCCCAGCTCCTCGTGCAATCATCATGTCCACAGAGCGTTGAGCTCAGTGCTGTCACAGCGATTGATCGCCTACCTCAAGTACCCAAAGAGACCTGTTGGATGACTATCCAACTTCCATCGAATTCCCTACGTATCCTCTTTCTAGTTGGTTGAATCCGATTGGGCAGGCGACTTTGCGGCTGGGGTGGTGCCAAGTTCTGCTCCATAGAGGCAATGCTTTGGCTGGTTTTCTTTGCACCGGCTTGATGAAGCTCGAAATTGTCCAGAAGTCAAGGACGAAGCCAGATACCCGGAGGCCACATGCTCAAGTGAAGATTCTCACTTCGGGTGGCTCCTTCGCTGATTTTTTTAAAAAGCTCATCACTCATGCACAAAGAGGCTCCTACTGACTCCAAATACCTCAATGCTGGAGGATACATTGGGCCTGCAGAGGCCAATGAGTAATTACTGGCATGTTCTTTCCTCCAAACACTTCCCTACGCTTTCAGCCAGGCTTTGCAGGACATGATCTCTGCTGTGCTGCGTATGAAGAGTACCCGACTCAGCGCGAAGCTTCCGCCAAAGCTCTACAGGGCTGGGCGAGAGCTACAGCACTTCAATCAGAGTCTTACAGCAAGGCACAGCGACTGGAGAGCACCGCCAGAAAGGTCAGCTGTCAGACCAGTGCGCCTGATCCACCCGATTGTTGTGATTCCTTTTGCTGTCTAAACTAGACGTAAAGCCCGCGCCTTGACTCAACTTCCTGTCACTTCCTTTTGCTGTAGGTATTTCTTCAAGTTGTACTTCTGGGACCACCAGGATTCCTTTCAGCAATGCTGAGCCACTCAGCAAGCAAAGTGCTTCCTTGAGGACAAAATCGCCTTGGACTACCACCAGTTGATCTTTGGGACTGCAGAGCTTCCGCCGAGACATGCTGCAGTGGTGTTCTTGTTTGAGCCTTGTGCAAGAAAGTTGCAGGAATTTTCTTGAGATTGCCAACCGACCATGTGAGAGTGACTGGGCTCCTGTGTGTGCTGTGGCAGACTTACTGCATCATCTTGCCTATTGGCTCAGTGAAGAATTCCATACCAGTGCAATCAGGATATTTATACTACTTTATACTTACACCTTAAGATACCTCAAGCATTTTGAGGTCAAGCCTTGCTGCACCGAGAGCGACAACTTTCGAAGGCCAACAGCCCAGAGAGTAAGGTCCTCTGAGAATCCGTGCCTGTGTGCCTGGTTGACAAGGTGTGCCTGGGTGGGGGGTTGCCCGGGCAGGAGGTAATGTGCCGGTATGCCTGGGAAATACCGTTTTGATATATTATATATATATAATCATCCTGGAGTAGATAGAATGGACGAATTTTCAAAAAACAATCCACTCCTCAAAGCCGGCCCTTCCAAACCCCATAGATAGAATATGGTTGTATGGGTTTCTCTTCCTTTTCCTTTGTTGTCCTTTTCCTTCTCTGTTCGTTCTATTTTCTGTTCGTTCTAAAGAAAAGAAAAGAAAAAGGAAAAGCTTAGATAATATACACATAGGAACAGAACATGAAAATAACAAAGGAGCAAATACCGGAATGGGAGGAGTTGATAAGAATCTTATCACTATATTCTATCTATAGGGTTAGTCTTCATAAAATGAAAGGGATTTCAAGAACCCTGAGTTTTTTCAAAAAGAAAAACACTCCCTACGAAAGTAGATTCTATCTACTCCAGGATTATTATATATGTATGTGTGTGTTTTGATGGATGTGTGTGTGTGTGCCAACATCACCACCACCATCATGACTAGATTAATACAGTTTTCATCACCTTCCTAGTCATCACCGTCATTTTCGACAACATCACCACGAGACTATGTTTAGAGGCTTTCTCATCACAGGAAATGCCTGGGATAATCCAAAGGTTGGCGTGGCTAACCGAAGCAGAAGTGGAATAGGCTGTTCCTCATTGTTTGTGCTGAGTGTACAAGGGGTGGCATACTGTTTGGATTCATTTGCGCGGAAGGTTGGGAATCTCCGTTTTCAATTGACAGCAATAAGGATAATAATGCATACTGCATACAGTACGTTATCAATGATAAAGCCAAGGCATGTGTTCGACGGTCACCCCGACCGCGTCACATCCCTACCATGCTTCGCAGCAGCAGCACCATCATGATTAGCATCCTCATCATTGTTATCGTCAGCCTCCTCCTCATCCTCCTCCTCATCATCATCATCGACAGTGATGGCGACGGCTTTGATGGTGTCGAGGAAAATGATGATATCAATGACGATGATGATAGTGAGCACGATGATTTTGTGATGATGCTGGCCACAATAATTTGAAGCTGAGACTTGCCCCAACACTGAGATTCTCCAGCACATTGTCAAGCCAATGGTCAATTTGAGTGGTTCCTTTTAGGTTGGAGGCCATCGCTATTAGGTTGGAGGCCATCGCTACTAGTAGCAAGAAGCTATTGCAATTGTTATCACAAGTCATCATTGGCGCAGAACTCTTCGTGGCTGTAGCGCAGGAAGGCCTTCGGCAGACTCTGATTTTGAGTAATGAAAGTGATACAAGCGCGGGCTTGCTTGTTGTGCTTGTGCAATGTTGTTGTGCTCAATGTTGTGTTCTATGATATGATTAGCTCCGAAATATTACAGTAAGTTTTGTTTTCCAAAGTCATTTTGGAATTGTCTTGTGGAGGCAAGGTTCTCACCAGGAACTGCGACTGTGGTGTTAAACGTAGAAAAGGGAACTGCTGGGAAGTTTGGACTGTGAGCTCCTTAATTTTCAAGATTTATACATTTCCATCATCTCCTCACAGTCATCATCACCATCATGATCATCATCACCATCATGATCATCATCACCGTCACCTTCAACATACTATCATCATAATCATCATCGTCATCATCTTCCTTATCATCAGCAACATCATCATCGACATTGTGTGTCCGTGTGCACGTGGACTGTGACCATGCCCGTGTCCCCGCAGAGCTGAGTGTGCTTGCATGCCTGCGGGGTCGGCGGGATTGTGAAGGGACTGCAGAATCTTTTGCATATTGGAAAGTACCTAGTAGCGTCCTTGCTCCTAGTAGCGATGCCAGGAGCCCCTAGTCGCTTCTTGCTCCTGGTAGTAAGGCCAGGAGCCCCTAGTAGCGTCCTTGTTCCATATTTGAGCGTATTTGAGCTAGATGGCTTTGACTGAATCCGAGCTCAAGGGCCGGACAGTCCCTTAATTACTCCTGATACGCAATAGGTCAGCTTTTAACCACAAACGTTTCATCAATAGGTCAGCACTTTCAAACTTAAAGAGCTTTAACGTGCCCCTCATGTTCCCACTTCTCCCGTCCACCCCAGAAACGCTGCAGAGGTTCCATCAGCTGTTCTTCAGTCGGTACAAGGTGAAAGGGTGTGCCGTGTGGCGAGAGGCAGGGAGAGGGGGAAAGGTCTCTCAGTGGAGATTGGAGCATCACGCACCAATAAGCCATCACTTCGCGAGGATTTCTTTGTGTTAGTATGCTTCAGACAGTTGCGAAAAGTAATGTTTAGAGCCTCCCAGAACAACTTGCCGATCTCCTGGCATGGCAATGGGGCTGGCAAGGCGCCTCGCAGAATTGCTGAAAACAGTATGTATGAAGATGAAAAGACCGAAAAGACAAGAGTCCACTGCCTTCACAGCTGCTTTGCCCGACACGACTGACCAGTGGCTCTACCTTCTGGCCCTCGACCAATTGTCCCTGCGATGCGGCCCTGCTGCCAATGTGACCAGGGTCAGCCAGGCATGTTTGGGCATTCTGTTGAAGCTGCCATAACGTGTTCATGCCGCATGGCATTGTAAATATGTTCTATGACAGATATCTACCCAATAAAACCAAATAAGTGCCTGAGCTATTTTGAGACGTTTTTGCTTTCATAGGCATACGTCGAGGCACTACTGTGGCATCGAATTAAATGTGTTTCTGAGTTCTAAGATTCTAAGGCACAAATGCCAGAGCAGATGATGGCCGAGTCTTTGCAGCTCTAAGAGTGGCGGATTTTGACACTCAAGAAATGAAGGCATGCAAGCATTGGTACATATTGGGTTTGCTCAAAAACTGTATTATATAATACTATATATAATATATATATATATATTGACCAGATTCTTGTTTGTTCTTATGCAGTTTTTGGGTTGGCTTGACTCGCTTGACGCGCGAAGACCTCTCTCTCTCTCTCTCACTCTCTCTCTCTCTCTCACTCAGTACTTGCGGCTTTTCCCACCCTCCAACCATCTTAGTTGCTAGTGTCCAGCAGGGGATGTGCTGATTTGGATGCGATCCGTTTTCATGGAACCACCTTTACACACAGCGACCTGGTTGTGGTTGAGCGCGATGTGCACCGGGGTCCTGCTGGGCAAAGGGTTCGTGGCGGCCTGTCCTAGGTGGCCACCGGTCCGCGGTGAGCCTTCTTCACTATTGACCGTAGGGTGCGGCAGGGTATGTGCCGTGTTGGGCTTGCCTGGCCCTCTAGAGCGCAGCGGGTATTTGTGCAGGGTGGTTCTGCAGTGGTGAGCTTGCTGACTAGCGGGCTTGTGGGCATCAAGTTGACTTGCAGAAGCAGATACTGTAGCGTTGATTGCGCGACTTCGCTTTCTGCTTTGATGGCCAAGATTGAAACGTGCAAGAGGCTCCCTGCGAGAAGGAGGCGAATAGACCTATGACGAGGCCTGTTTCGAAAGGAGGCCGCCGCGGCTGTCGATGTGAGCCAGCTTCGGCTGATCAGCCTTTGTTCCCTGATGCTGAAGCGGCAGACGGAGCCAAGTCTGCGTGGCCTTGTGCTTGCACGCTGAATGGGCCCTAGAAACCTTTGAGCTAAACTCCTTGTAAATTTAATCTTCGGCTACACCTTGCGCATATTCTGGATGACAAAGACTTCAATTTTGACTTGCGCGCGGCAATCACAAATGGTGCGCCAACTGGCACACGTCGACCGGCACGGGCACCTCCTGCTGTTTCGCCTACGCCAGACCTACACGATGAAGAGCCCGCAGAGGAAACCCCATGTGTTTGTGGCCGCAGGGCCAAACCGTCTGCTCGTCAAGAAGGCAAGCCAGTGGTGGCGCCCAGCCTTCATCTATCACTGATCCGGCGTGCGTTACCTTGTGAATCATTTTGGTATTTCCGGCAGCGCATTTTTGTGGTGTTTATATCATGTTATATCGATGACTTCTTGCTCATGCTGCTGCCTTCCGCGTTTCAATTCAGGAGCTAAGGAGCTTGCTGATTGCTTTGATGTGCGTCTTGAATGTTCCTTTGTTGCCGAGGAAACTGCGATTGGGAAACAACCTCGACGCCTCGGTTGGTGCTTGCGCTTGTGCAACGGGTTCTGGGCCGCCGTGACTGAGCCTAAACTGCCGAGCCTGACAAGGTGCATGAATTGTTGGTTGCTGCGCTCGTGCGCGAGCACTTTCTTGGGCTGGTGTTTGCGTCGCCCAAGACCGAAATTTGCAAAGTTTGCTTGACGACTAGCTGACTGCCCAAGATGCCCAGATCAGTGACGTCCAACCGGGGTCTAAACTGGGGCGCCCCGACCTCCCAGCCATGGAGCCGGAAAAAGTATGAGCAGAATCCTTTTACTCGTCGATAGTTTATAGTTTATAGATGTTTATAGTCGTGTTATGTATACAAGTTTCACAATGTCGGGCATCATTCATGGCAATGTAAAGCCAGATGGTGCTTTTGAGCCAGGGCGCACATGGCAAGATCGACACCTGCATTGCATTTGTGCCACCAAGGACCTGTTTGAGAAGTATGACAGCCGGTCCCAGAACGAAGGCGAATCTCGAAGCAGAAGCCTGTTGTGATCCAAATGAATTCCCAAAATCCGAGTGGATTTGAAAGATTAGACCTTAGGTCCTAGGATTGTCCTAGGTCTGAGCCATCCTGGCTCTGGGCCTTGGACATTGTCAGTTGCCCATAAGTGGAGTATTGGAATATATTGGAATAAAAATTTAAGGAATAACATGTTCATACATGTTCAGCTACTGAGCTACGGTAGTCAAGTAGTGCCACACCGACATTTGAAGCAAACATTGCACTCAGGCAGCAACTGGCCTGGAGGTTTCCTCACAAGTGTCAGCAGTCACTTCATCGAGGAGAACTATCCATCTCTTGGGAACAAGTCTTTGGGTTTCGATTGAGTAGTCACGTAAGATGAGAAAAGGGTCCATTGGTTGTTTTGTTTTATCAATTTTCCTTTTTTGATGTTTCCGTAGATTTTGCGACTTTGGCAGTACACAGGAGTCAGGTGGGAGTGAGCTTCCGGCCGAATGTAGCTGAGGGTTGGCAGCCCGAGTCGCAAACGTTGCTGCGCATTGATGGAATGAAAGGCTGTGAAGGCTGTGAAGCGATGAAAGAAGAACTGCTCGCAAAACTCAAGTGCTCGAACCAAAAGCAAATTTAATCAAACACAGTGTCCCGTCTATACAAATTTCGGCTCGAGCTTTGGGTCATGGTGAGGATTGGCTGCGTGTCCTTGCGCTGCAAGGAATAAGCAGGTTCATTCTTCAAAGGGCATGGGAGTTGTTCTTTTTCCCCAAAAGTGCTAGGCAATGGCGGTGCTTGCCATTGAAGGGCACAAGAAGCTTGAAGCTGCACAGCAGGAATTAAGATGCATTATGTGAATCCAAGGGACTCAGAGGAAAGTGCGATCACTTGCACTGAAATTGTAAACCATCAACGATCGAACGGGCTCCATGTCAAGTTCTGCAGGAGCTTTATGATGCATTCAGTGCCTGTTTTAAGACTGTCCCTTGGCTGCACTTGAAGTTCTTGGTTGATCTATTGGGTTCACGCAACGATAGTAGTCAGGTTAACGGAAGAAGTGTGGACACATGGCAGCCACATGAGACAATTATGCTTTGTGCGGGAGCCTGGTGCTTCAGCAAAACTATTTGGACACTTGAGACTGCAGACACGAGGCAATGACACAACATTCTTCGATCTAGCAGGCCACACTCGTGTTGATCGATTCTGCGTCATACAGACTGCAATGTTGCGCACATACTCCGAAGCTTGCGGTGTTTTGGTTGGAATTGAACACCTCAAACGTCGCTTCTTTTGTGGCTCGCACAAAATATTCCTGGCATCGCAGAAGCGCTGCGAGCAGAGATTGCGACACTGACTGGTGAGACCTTGACTCCCGTCACGGATGTGGTCAGTGATGCTCCCAAGAAGATGGTGAGAAGGGACAGAGCATGTAGTAATGGGCGTGCAAAAGCAAGACGATCGAATGAATGAGAGAGAATGCTTCCCCTCCAATGATTATCATTGTATCCTTTGTCGAGTCAATGTGCAAAAGCTGTTTGTCCGAGGCATTGCGGCTTTGGCCAAAGCCAGAGAATTGCATTTGGAGGTGTGAGACTCGCACGATGCGGTCCCACATTCCTACTTAATTAAGTAGGCGCCTACTTAATTCAGTAAGGGAGTAAGCTACTAGGCTAAGTTAGCTTCTAGGTAGGACGCAGGATATCGCTCGCACAGATAAACATGAAGAAAGGAACACAAGATGTTTGTTCAAAACAAGAACTTACCTATTACTTCTTGCGACATCTTGCGACTAATTGCCTGCTCCCACTCTTCAGGGAGACTTGACGACCGAGAACTTGGTGCAGGGCCAATTTGCTAAAGATTCCTTGTGAGGCAGCAAGTTTACCTGGGCTGCTCCGCCTTCGTTGCCTAGGCAGAGACAGTCTTCCGAACTCAACTTCTTGGAGAGCTTCTGGTGGATTTGCAGGCTGCTTGACTGCATTTGGGCGAAGCTGAAAACCAACATGCCTTGCTTTACCAAGATTATGTTTGCATCCTGTTGGCGAATTGGCAATACGGCAGTACCCTACAAAAGTCATCATGAATGAGGGCCTTAGTCTGCCAGCGCACCCTTAAATTGTGTCACCCAGTTCTTCAGCATGCTTTGGAAGGCCTGCCGGCTAATGGCCAAGAAGTACTGCTGCACAGATTTGCGCTTGGAACTCTCCGACAAGGTCCGCAGCGTTGGTTTCCTTGAACATATGAACTCGAACAAATGGGCCACTCTTATGGGAGGCCACAAGCGAGGCAAAGGACTTGGTAGAAGATATTTCCAAAGCGTCGAATCCTCAACGAGGGCACAAGAAGCTACTAGGGGCTCCTGGCATCGCTACTAGGAGCAAGGACGCTACTAGGCGCTCCTGGCATCGCTACTAGGAGCAAGGACGCTACTAGTAACAAGAGCATTTGCACCATTTTACACCTGAAGGATCTGGGAGCGTTCTGTACACAGTGTTGCACCGAGGTTTGGGATCATTGCATATGCAGCCAGGCCTTACATAGAATAATATAGATTAATATAGGACAAGATGGGTGTGTAAAACATGTGAAAACCAGCTTTGGCTCACAGGCAAATAATATTTGTGTAAGATGGCACAAGTCATATGACAGGAGAGGAGGCAAAGGTGCCTACAAGGGCAAAAGCAGGGGTCTCGCCTTGGTCTCCAGAATCTTGGTCCGGCCAGACTTCTTTCGTGAGTTCTGACGGTGCCTAGGTGCCGGGCAGCAGCAGCCAGTGGATGAAAAGGTTCAGGTGGCCGGCAGTCAATTGTTTGTTTCTATCATTATCATCCGCAAAGTCTTGGTGATGGATCAATTGTTGATCTCTATATGTAGATTTTGTAATTAGAGTCTAGACTGACATCTCTAGACTTGACCAGAATGTATAGAAACATGGCCAACAGATACTTGCTCGAGTAGTCTATCTCCTCGCAGCTCCATGCTTCTGTTGTCAGGCCTTGGAGGAGGTCGCAGCCAAAATCGGATGTGCATGCAGCTCAGCACAGCTCAGAAGGTCGATTCCCGACATTGCAGACATGCAGCGTCAAATGCAGAACATCTTGACTCGAGGACACTTCCTGGTCGGCAAAGAGGCCAGCCAGTTGCGATTAGGGAAACAGCATCAACCCATCGGGGGGAAGAATGGCACAATCTTGTTGGCACTTGGACACTTGGAGCTGGAACTCGACCACACCTCAGTATTCATTAACCAACCACTGCACTTGCCGGCACAAGACTGCGATTGGGAGAAAAGGCAGAGCATTGGCCCTGAGCCTTTTGGAACGCGTGGTCTTAGCTTTTTTATCGTGTTCTTAGTATTTCTTAGTAAAAGGTAGCCTGAACCACATGTTTGCCACGCGACAACTCTCTCTCTCTCTCTCTCTGTCTACATATATATATGACAACATACACATATGTATATATATAGTCAATATGTAAAGTTTTGTGGTCAAATACCTTGCACAACAGGGCAAACAGGCATGGGCTTCAAACACTGGTATGGGGGAAGTGTCAACCTGGGAGGTGCTATGGCCAAGTAGAGCATACACACTTCGCAAAAGGCCACTGACGTTTTGTCCTCGGACTTGCAGGTTTGATCACCTCCTGTATCCATGCTGGAGCTTGTCCCCAGAACAGGAGTGTGTCTCACTTTGGTTGGCCTTTTGTTTCCATGCATGTATGCCATGCATCTTCCATGCCCAGTTCCATGCGCTTGGCACTTCTTGAGGAGAAGACGGTGTATGAGATCATGGAGGTGTTCAACCAGGAGTATTCCGTGAGGCCGATTGTATTGATTTGTGCCCAAGTGGTCCACGGGTGTTCATATGTTTTCTAGGATGTCATTGATGTTGGTCATGAAGTGTCCATACGCATCAGTTTCAGTATATTGGGTAAAATGTCTTAGTACTTGTGCAGCTCAGCTGTGCACAAGGCGGAAGGTGCTAACTCGGCGGCTGGATGTCACGATCCAGGCCGAATGTGCAGTCATGCCGACTTCGCATCCTCGCTGCTGAGACTTGCAAAACTTAGGCCTTTTTGTGGTCACCCAAAGCCGACTCCTACATGGAGCAAATTTCTCAGGTTCCGGTTACGCTTCGGCTGGTTGTGCCATGGTTTGTATGCACTTCAATTGTTTTTTGCGCATGTTCTGTTTGTGGAGGCTATTGCAGCCGTCATGGATTGGCGAGATCATTTGAGTTTCGCTAGCATAGGGTGGGGATTATTTTGCGCAGACAGAAATTTCTGTAAAACAATCAGTTTTCTGTTGCAGGAGCTGGCACATGCTTGCCACTGATGAAAAAACTGTCCAAGAACCTCCAAAGGCACAAGCCAAAGGTGTTGCATATTTGTCATTGATAAACTTCAAGATGCTTGCAGTAATGAAAGCTGAATTCCTTGGAGCTGGTGCAGCCTTCTGCCAGATATCGTCCATCACCGCTCTGAAGTCTGTGGCTGCAACCTCTGTAGACATTCATCGTCGAATCATGTCGAATCAACATCTCTCAATCTGAGAACTTTTTTTAAAAAAAAATCTATTCTTTGTAGTAAAGGATACTTTTCTCTTCAAGCTTGAGGTGAAGACCATCATCATCGGTGCAGTGCCTGATCGAGGTGGTGTGCCTGAAGGTCTGGCCTTGCAAGTGGCAATATGAGACAATGTGAGACAACGTGAGGCAATGAGACATGTGTCAAGACACAATAATTGCCTCATATGCCTGTTTCCCTAACAATCTATGAACCGTTTCGACTCGTTTCGACTCGTTTCGTATCATGCAAAGGGCTTTTCAATTCCACCCGAGCCCTTAAGCTAGTAGTGCTCATGAAGCGCCCTACTAGCACCTTAAGCTACTGAGCTTTACGGCCCAACCTCCCCCGGTTGGAAAGAACTGGCGCCTTTTCGTCTGTTTTGCACCACTAAACACTAAAGAGTAGTAGGATAGCGTGTGGAGTTGAAAATCAGCGCAGATTAAATCACTTTCTAAAGATTTACTGTAGAAGCACTACGAAGCGGACGTCTCCATTTGCCCCTCCCTTGTGTTGTGCTGTCTTTGCTTCCAACTTGTTGTTTCCTTTTTTCCCGTTTGCAAATGATTGTTAGGATCGTAAAATTGATGCTCATCTCCTCTTACATCCAACAACCCAACAAAAATAACTAACTAACTATATAATTGTCGTGCAACATGTTGCAGTTCCAGATGTTCTTCTTGGTCAGAATATATTTTATCAGCAGATGCCCTTGGCAGGCTATACTGTGGAGGATATTGCCAAGGATATTGTAAAGGCAAACGTCGCTCTCACCAAGAAAGATCAAGGCGCTCAAGCATGTTTTGCTTAGGGGCTTTGGGTTGTTCCATTTTGTCAGTTTGTGTTTGTTTGTTTGTTTGTTTGCATTCTTTGACCGTTCTTCTTTTCTTTTCTTTTCCAACGTCCATCCCTTCTTGTCGCATTTTACTACAGCTTTTTGCTTCGATTCAGGAGGCGGTGGAAAAGGTGCATCTGACAACGCCTTAGACATTCATGATGAGGGCTTTAATGGCAAGAACTTGAATGATTAATCAGAACATCGTGATGCGTGGACATATGGAGTCACCTCTTCTTACAGTATCTAATTTTGTGATTGTTTTAGCACATGGGTGACTGTGCTCAAGGCGCAGACTGCTGCTGCCATGTCCGCCAAGCGGTGGGTTGGTAAGGGGATGGGTGCAAGTCTCAGTTTTCACCGGATGCAAATCTCAATGTCGCATGGTAACACGATGTCACTGTTGACTGTCACATGTCACTTTGTTGAGAGTCCCTCTTCAGAAACTCAGCTATGCAAAACCCAAGGTTCAGGCGAATCAAGAGACAGTCCGCGAGGTACCTGAGAAACATGGCTTTGCTATGCAACGAATATGCGCTGGTTTACCCCGGTGATTCCGGCAAACAAGTTGCCTTAGATTCAGAAGTTGCAGGCGGTGGTGGTGGTGGAGGAGGCTACTATGGCGGGAAAGGCATAGATGAAAGCTCATGCACAAACACAGAGACACCGCGGCAACAATCGAAGACTTTAGAATCAACAATTTCAAGACAACAGAGTAGGGGGAGAGATGGAGAGAGGGGGAGCTGGTGAAAATCAGATTGTGGGAAGAGTGAGTAAAGCTCTTTCAACAAATCTCAAGCGCGAGGCGGCGATGGTGGTGGGTGCTCCTTGCAAACTGTTCATTTCATCCTAGAGCAGCATAACTTGAAGCAGAACAAATGAGTTTGCAAGATCGACAAAGCACACTCAGATTCACCTTTTATCGCTTGCCTATCTACAATCAATGACACTGCACTGAACTGCATCGGCATATTTTCCTGACACCTACTAGTTCCTGACGCAACTTCATGCTCCATTCTTGAAGGTACTATGGCAAAGGAGGTGGGGGTGGAGGTGGCTACTACTCTCAAGGCAGCATGGCTGCAAACATCATTCTCACAGACCAAAAATTCGACCGTGCTGAGCTGTGCCTACCAAGGAGGTGGCAAGGGAGGCGGTGGAGGCTGCAGACTTATGTAGCAGCGGAGATGGATCACCTACTGTAATCCCCATCTCTCTCCTCTCCCCCCCTTACAATGGCCCAACTCCACTTCCCCGAAGCCCTTCTCAATCAAGCACACATCCACCACATCTAACAACAGGTCATGTAGAAGAAGCTCCTGTTATGTCCCGTTGCTTACGCCAACTGTGGCAGAAATCCTGAAGCAATTTCAGATTCACATATTCAACCTAAAGCAGCCATGCCGCTGAGAAGCATTGCCCCTTTGAGGATGAATGAAGGTGTATTCCGTTTCCCCAGTTTGCTTGCTGAATTTCAGTCGGACTTGGTTGATGTCCTAAATTATCGTTTCTCAGTCAAAACCTACATGAGGAGAGAGTTGATTTTTTCCCAAACCTATCAGAATTAGAACAGCTGGTTGCTATGATGCACCCTGAACAAGAGTACAGCGTGCGACTGCACAGGCACCATTCACAGCCTTTTCAGGCATTTGCCTCAAGCTGGACATGCATCCTGATTATACTGTATACATGCCAGAAGATTTTCGCCTCAAACAACTTGTTCACCACTTCATTGCGTGAAAAAAAATAAGCATATTAGGCTGGCTGTCACTAGCCCCTTGCTGGCCTCAAACTCTAGGTCCACTATCACCATGCTGTACTTGCGTCTCAAGTCCCTCCGACTTTCTTTTGGGGTCTTGTGGCTGGTTGTCCCACTGCCGCTGTTTTGATCTAGAGATTTGCATCAATCTCTTCTATTCGGGTCTCTTCGCGACGAAAACCGCCCGCACCAGTGGCTCTCAGAAAGAGGGTAAAAGAATTCTCTAGAAGCAATCTATTTTTGGACCATCTGACAAATTGGTTGGTTATGCCTTACTTGCAATTTGCAAGCATTGTTTAATTATTGTTCCATCCCTTGAAATTGTACATTTTGAAGGTGGTATAAATAGAGTGATTTATATACAATAGACATCAATAGACAATAGACTATACAATGTGCATGATCGAGACAAGACCTAGAGATGAACGCAGTATGAAGTGGACGAAAAACAATTAAGTATCTATAATCACTCTATTTTTGGACCCTCTTACAAATTGCTTAGTTATGTCTTACTTGCAACTTGCAAGCATCATTGGGTATATTCTTCGACCTCCTTGAAATTGTCGATTTCCCAGGGGTCCAAATTATTCCCAACAATGCCTGCAAGTGGACCCCCTGAAAATCCCTGAAAAATGTACCAGTTCAATTGGGTCGAAGAAATAAACTATACAATGTGCGTGATTGCGTGATCACGACCAGACTTAGAGATGAATGCGTGAAGTGGATGAATAGATTAAGAGAAGTCTCTAAAGTCCCAATATTTCGACCCCCTTATAATTTGTATAGGAGTTGTTTACAAGCCCTGTTGGATACATTCTTCGACCCCTTGAAATTGTACTTTTTTCAGGGTGAACAAATTACTGTATATATCTTATTTGTATATCAATGTGCAGGCACTTTGCGCGAAAACTGCCACCAGCCACCAGCTAATGCATACGATTCGATAAAAGCTGAAGAATTGCAACCAGTTGATGCATATGACGCATTCATGAAAGTATGTAAAACATAGACTGTTGAGACGAGTCGTTTGATGGCCTTTCACGGGCCTGGTGATGCAAATGATGCGATGATGATAAATATTGTCAGACTTACATGGATTGAATGTTTTCTCCCACTGGCATGCCTCTCCCAGACACACCTCATGATGCAGGACACGCATTGTTGTTCTCAAACGAAAATGACCTCCCCACTAGCTAACACTACATGGCGATGAATGCGCTATTGAAAGTGTAACGCCCCTCAGCACCTTCGGTGCGGGCGAATTTAGACTTCAACGTCAATATGGCAATGTCCGTGTTTTCTGTTTTCTCTCTTCTTTTCCTGGAGGCTACTACTCACAGAAAGGAGGTGGCGGTGGTGGCGTTCACAGGGGGACGGAGGGGGTGGAGGCTACTACTCACAGGGTGGTGCGGGAGGAGGCACGCTTCACCCAAGGTGATGCGAGAAGCTAGTGAGGCATTGAAGCAATGTTATGCATCCGTCAAGGTGGCTTCTATGCACAGGGTGGCGGCGGCGGTGGTGCGCTTCCTCAGTTTACCCAGTAATTACACGCATTCGGAGCAAACTAGATTCCATGCAAAAGCATTTATCAAAGAGATCTATTTGCAAATCAATGTATCAGGAGGATACTATGCGCAAGGTGGAGGAGGTGGTGGAGGGGGAGGACAGCTGGAAGAGCCTCACACAGTGCCAAGTGCCGTAGATTGCTGGGTTTTTCTAGGATACTATGGTGGCAAAGGTGGCGGAGGAGGAGGCCCAGGATTCTCAAGCAAGTTGTTTGTCATACACCTTTTCATATTGTAGAGGCTTTTGTTTTTTCAATTCACTCTCTGTTTGCTTTGCAAAACTTGTCAGTGAGTATATATATAGAACGAACACTTGTCAAGATCTTGCAGGTTTTGGTGGACGGCAGCAGGATAGACCACCGACCTCAAAGGGATGGACGAAAGGAGGAGGTGGTTGGTGAGTCAAAAGGACGAGGTAGATCTGTTCATCGCGGAAACGGTTCACTGTATATAGACATTGCTATTGCGGCGCAAGCGTCGTCATTGGCAAAGACCTCAAGTTAATCCCTCCCAGCCTCGTGCTGAGTTAAGAGCAATGCTTCTTGCGTTGTGAAAGAGGGTGCCACATTGTGACGTGCTTCACATTTCTGGGTATTATGATCGCATTCCGTTGCTTGGTGAAGTTTGCTGCATGTCCTGGTCCGCCACACTTTTCTCTGGTCCTGTGCAGCCTTCCCGCTGCAAAGTTGCTTGGCTTTTGAAAGATATATTTTGCGACTTCAAACAAGCAACAAATGTGACAACAGCATAAACAGCATGCAGAGCAGTTTGAGTGTTTCGCTTGTTAATTTTTTAATACAGGGTCACCAATCACTTTTTCAGGACTGCAGCACCAGGTGTGGAGGCTTGTGAGCGGCTTCGGTCCCTCGGCTGCCTGAATTTACTTCTAATCATTTTGGTGTTGGCTACCAGCATTTTTGGCTGCCAAGGTGCTGCTAGCCAGAGATGGGTTCAAAGCAAACTTGAACGATGGCGGCCAAAGTGGAATCCTCAAAGTTAAGGTTGCAAAGGTGCCCTTTTTTACATGTTTTTGTTCATAAGCAAAGACTATATAATTAATACTCTTCGCAGTCGCAAGTAATTAAGCGACTCGTAGAATGACGCAGCAGAGGCAAAGCCTTCCTTGATTGTCATATCCGTACACAGTTCCTGTCGAGAGTCACCATTTCACTTGTCCATCTCGCCGAGGCCGCTGGAAAACGACGCAAGGGATTTGCAGCTCTAGGTATCTCTGTTTTAGACAGCGATGAGTGCCAGGACTGTCAAACTAGTGTGGAGGGTCAGAACGGTGAACTTGAATTGGGTGTGTACTTTGATGTACTTTGTATATTTGTAGGCCATAGCTATTGGAGGCCATCGCTTCTAGGTTGGTTGTCCCTTTCGGACATGGGTGTTTTTTTCCCACTTGTGTCTTCTTCGAGCGCAGCTCAAAGGATTAGCACTCACATTGCAGCGTTTCCAGGACCAAAAAGACATCAAGTTGAGAGGTCATGCCAACGATGCAGAGCGAGCATCCAGGTGGTTTTGAATGACAATGCCAGCAATGCCAGGTTGTTGTGACCAGGTTTGTTTGATCTTTTTTGAAGGAATGAGCTGGATTTGCAAACCCAAGTCCTGAAGAACAGAAGCAAGGACCAGGCACCGGCTGTGAGGAACTTGCTTTTCCTATTTGGTAAACATGTCAAGAACTAATCTGAACTCCTGTCGTCTCAGAGATTAGCAAATTAGTTTAGCTAATCCAATGGATACCATCCGAAGGTTTCACATAGTGGACAACAATTATGGCTCCTTTCAGGGACTTGAGCAGCTCAGATTGGACAAGCTGGCTTGCTGAGTATAGCTGATAGCTGAGTAGCTGCTCAACAGCTTCTGAGTAGCTTGCACGATGCTGAGTAGTGAAGTTCCCTCATGGCCTAGCCCGCCCCCCCAGAAGAAGACACAAAGTGCGAGACCGTGCGACACTTGTCACACAGCTGCACTTGGAGGCTCAACTTCTGGCAATTGTTGCGGGGCTTCAAGAAGGCATCGAAGACTTGCTGGCTGGACGGGTCTATCATCCAAAGAAAGAGGACAGACTCAAGAGCCTGTCTAAACCCGTCGTTTGCTGAGACCGTTCCGACAAGTCACAACTGATACAACTCGGATCGATGCAGGAGGAAGACGACAAAGCAGTCTCTCAATCCAGCGAGACTGAATCTGAAGGCACCCGTGCGCCAAATTGCGCACTCACCAAATTGTTTAAACTCATGAAGATACTGTTAGTAAGGAGCCTCCGAAAGTGAGACTCTTGGTGCTCGAAGGGGTTGATTTGTTCCTTGCGGTTCCGTTTTTTCCCGGCTTGTCAGGTGAGGGTCTCGAGGTTTTACCTCCGCTCAGGCCCCCCACTGCCATCACCACCACCTCCTCCCCCTCTCACCACCTCCGCCACCACTTCCTCCAGCCTTTGGGACTTTTGCTGGTGCGGGCGGCAGAGTGGAGCGCGACCAGAACACATGTCAGAATAGAGGTCGGACGTTTTGTCAGAACACATGCCAGTTTTGATGCTAGAGTGCATGTCAGCAGTACATACCAGGAAATATGTCAGAACGCACGCCAGATGTGGCGGCAGGACACATGCCAGAACACATGCAAGGGAGGATGTCAACACACATTCCTTGGTGCTAGATTCTAGACGATGTGTCAAAACACATAGCAGACATAGAAGACTCAATGCCAGAACAAATGTCTAGAAATGTCAGAACATTGTGTCAGTAGAAATGTCAGGCAGCGTTTCTTCTAAATCGCCTTTCAGAGTGGGGATCACCCGAAGTAAATAGTATGTAATGTAATGTTGTTGTTTTGTTGTTGTTGTTGTTGTTGACGCAGCTGCTGTTGCTGTTTTCGCAATATGTCACAGTCACAATCATTGTTTTTCTTGCTCTTGGTTGTCAACCACTTCATAGCAGCCACTGCCAGACTGCAGTTAACTTGAGGACCGGGCGAGCCTGCAAACTCACTCGAGGACAGAGACCGAGGTCATTGAGACGGAGCGGATTCAAACTGATGTGCTTTTTTGAGACCGCAGGACGTCAAAGAAGTCGAAAAGGCAGATGCAGACGCCTACACTCTCAAGAAGAACTTGGCAACTTGCCAAAACAAAAGACTCCTGCTATTTGCTCGGCAGTTTCAGATCAACGCTCAACTGCTCACTCTTGCTTGCAGTGATTAGACCATAAGTGTTGCCCCCACACATTGTTTATCGTTTTTGTCTCCTTGATCTCATTGATTATTGACATGGATAACAACTTGCGGAGCACCAGAGCTTCGCAGCTTGATTGTTTCCGACATGTTTCCGCTAGTCTTGTCGTTTTTTATCGCTTTTCGTCTCAGGCAGGTATGCCAATGTGGATCGAGCATGAAGTGCATCTTGGATTTGGCTGCGGGATCGAAGGTTGCAGCGAATCATGTGGAATTCTGCAGTATATGTTTAAAAAGTGCGAGCCAGCAGTTGTTGAGCTGCTGAGTGGTAGACTGACTGAGACTAAATTAAAGGCTGACTGGGGTCCTGCCTGGTTGCAGTAAGCGTGTTTTGGCGGTTTGGGCATGGTCTTCTATTTGGTGCTGTGCGCCGCGCCTGGTGACGTGAAGCTCCTCTTAGTCCAAATGCGTGGATTAACCTTGTGCCAACACGTCTTCTGTTGGAATTGGGCATGCACAACTAGGTTTGAGGATCGTTTTTGATCATGTATACAAGCGACTCCGAACTCCGAGGTCAGGCAATAGAGCACCAAATGGTTCCACGTGCCATCAATGTTAGGCATGTTAGGAAGGGAAACAGCTCTGGCAGTAATTCTTTGCTTCATTGGGTGGCCTTGTCATTGCACACTGAAGTGCGAGCCTGTCAATCAGCCTTAGATTAGCATCCCGACTAAGGCAGTCTGACGAGGAGAGCAACGTGTTTGCGTGGCGAGCAGTTGCAAGTTGAATCGGCCAACGCAATGAAATCCCAAGATTGAAGGAAACTACAGAGTTTTGTGCTGAGCTGCTGAGATGACGAGTTTTGTGTTGCAGAATAGCTGGTGCCGTTGCATCCCATGCATCCTTTGTTGTGTACATTTGTGCATATTTACAGATACAACTTAAAGAGACAAAAACCATCAAAAACCATGTTTTTGAATCGGGTCGCCTAAAGAGGTCTTTCGAAAGCATTGATTCATTTGGTCACAATTTGCTTTGCACCCGCCCAGCATTTCAAGTTAAACATGCATTGTAGGATAATTGGTGTTTGTTCATTTACTGACAGGAGCATCAAAACAGGATTCTGATATGGCTACTCTATCATGTACGTAGCAGCTGGATGTTACACACGTGGCCGTTGTTTGACTTGTGAAACTTAGAATGCATCGAAAATCCTCACATCTTTCCCGAAAGGCTTGGAATGCCTACGTGAGAAAAAAAACATGGGTAGACTTAGAATGGGTCAAAGGTGTCACCGGCAAACTGTAAACATTCAGGCCTTTTTCTCTTTATTTATCTTTGGCGGCAGGTCGTCTTTTTGGAAGGTTGTCTTCCACCATTGATTGGATGGAGGGGAACAATTTGGAATCTCAAGACTGTGCGCACTTTAGAAGGCCCTGTGCCAGACAAAGATATAATATATATAATGTATCCAGGAGACTCATGTCATGGCAAGGGAACATTCTAACTGTACCGTTTTCCTGGCCAGTTCCCCACATAGAGTGCACATGTTATTTAATCTATATATTGTCCTTTTAGTCGCATTCAAACGGCATCATTTTCCTTCTATTCCCGTCGTTTTGCGTTATTGTGTTCTCTTTTTCCTTCCATTTTTCTGTTTTTCCTCTCCAGTCCCTTGCTACGTCTTTTTTGCTTTTCCTCCTGCCAAGCATAGTGTCAATGAGGCTTATGAACGGGAAGGGTAGCAGAAAAGGCCTCGGATAGCCAGGCAATGGAGGAAAGGCAAAGGGAAAGACAGAGAAGAACGTCGCAAAGGGCAGGGCAGGAAAAGACGCCAAAGGAAAGAAAGAATGGAAGGGAACTGGAAAGCAACATGCGCACACTGGGATGGAGGGGAACAATTTGGAATCTCAAAGCAGAGCCCTTGCCCGGGAGCTTTCCGGAGAGACAGGGCAAAAAAAAAGTAGACATGTGCACACTGAGAATTCCCCGTGCCAGACAACAACAAACACACACATATATATATATACCTAGATCTTCAGTCCGGCACTTTTACAGGGTCCGGCGCCGGACTTCCAACTCCGGCGTTTTTCTGGATTTGGTACGGGACTTTTTCCAAGTCACTTTATGTGGATTCTCAAGGCTTTGCATTCTTTGTGGCTTGCATCTCTTTGAAGGTAAACCCACTACTGATGCAAAGAAATTTGTTTGCAAAGTGTGCTCGTTTGCCTGTTCCGCTGTTTTCTCATTCCACCGGTTTCAGCATGGTTCACACTGGATCAATCAGATCCGTTTAGGTGATCTTCTAAATGAAACCGGATGAAGCCGGTACAGTGCGATGCACGTGTTGAAAGACCCAAGTGGGTGCACCTAAGCTGAAAGA